TAGTCCAAATCTGCATCCTTTCCTTCAAGGCTCAGGGGTCCAAGATTATCTTCTGTGTCTGTGTTAATTGGTTTCCCTTTTCTTTGTTGAAGAGGGTCTGGGCAATCCTTCTGCCTAGTCCGCCATCTTGCCCCACCTCTCCTTGACATGAATTTTTAAAACATTTTCTATATAAATGTTTCAGTGATTGATAAATTACAAACATTCTTGAAACAAAACAACAACAAATAGAAACTCACAGCAAAGAAAGAAATGTAAAGAAGAACAATTAAAATTTGGGACCTGAAAAATACAATGACTGACTGAAATAAAATCTCAGTGGATTGGTTCAACAGCAGAATGGAAGAGACAGGAAAGAATAAGTGAATTAAAAGAACAAGAAAAATTACCCAATAGGAACAACAGAGAGAAAATAGAATGAAGAGAATAGCAGGGATTTGTGGCATCATAACAAAATATTCATGCCATCGAAGCCCCAGAAAAGGAGGGAAAAAGGCAAGACTGAAAAAAATACTAAGATGTAGATTAAAAATCCCCCCAAATTTGGCCAATGATGTAAACCTAGATATTCAACAAGCTGAGTTAACCTTTGTTAAGGATTTATTGTGTTTTGCCCCCCAAAAAAAGACATGGCTGAAATTCTAAACCCCCTGTGTCTGTGAATATGACCCTGTTTGAAAATAGTGACTTTGAAGATGTTATCTGTTAGGTTAACATGAGGTCATCCTGGAGTAGGGTGGCTCCTAAAACTATATAACTGGAGTCCTTATAGAAGAAGAGAGATACACAGAGATAGATATATGACAGCTATGTGAAGATGCATCTACAAGCCAAAGAATGACAAGAATTGCCAGCTCTCACCAGAAACTATGAGAGAAACACGGAACAGATTCTAAGACCCCTCAGAAGGAATCAACACCCTAATTTTTAATTCCTAGCCTCCAGAATTGTAAGACAATAAATTTCTGATCTTATAAGCTACCTAAATTGTGGTCCTAAGAAATTAATATTACTCCTAACAGGAAAAAACCTAAATAATCCAAATATAGACCCATTATAGTTAAGGCTTCTCTTAACTCAGGCAGCTTCTGGTTGCTGAGGCTGACAAACCCAAAGTAAAGTGTCACATTCCCAAAATTATCAAGCAACATGGCAGGTCACTTGTTCAAGTCCAGAAACAGTTGAGATCAGCAGACAATATGGCAAGCCAATGAGATGAAGACTCTGCCAATGCAGGATCGAGATGTGCCACAATAAATGGAGAAAAGATTGAAGTTGTCAAAGACTTCATATTAGTTGGTTCTATAATCAACACAAATGGAAGCAGTAATCAGGACATCAGATAATATATTGCATTGGGCAAATCTGCTGTAAAAGACCTCTTTCAAGTGATGAAGAGCAAAGATGTCTCCTTGAAGACTAAGGTGCACCTAACCCAAGCCATGG